TTAAAAAAGAACTATTTTGAACTCACAATGTTTCATATACATGCCTGAGGACTTGTGTAGAAAGCCATGCTCGAAGAATGTGGTACTCTCAGAAGAGCTTTTGTTCTTTCAGAGCTTGGTGCTCTTTTTATATTTCTCTGGATCTATGGAAAAGTATCTAGTGATTGGGAATGATGGATGGGAAAGTAGTAGGCAGAGCGTGGGACATGTGGTTCTTGTTTGTTCAGACCCTCTCTCCCATTATTTTTATCTTAAACGATAAGCCATGGCTGTAGAGATGCTTTAATGATTGTCTTAGTCAGTGTTCTATTGCTTGTGAAGAGACACCATGATTATGGCAACTCTTATAAAGGAAAACATTTCATTGGCGCTGCCTTACAGTTTCAGGGCATTACTCCATTATCAGCCTGGTGAGAAGCATGGCAGCACACAGGCAGACATGGTACAAGTGAGGTAGATAAGAATTCTATATCCAAATCAGTAGACAGCAGGAAGAGAGCAAGATGTTGGGCCTGACTTGAGCATTTGAAACCTCAAAGCCCACCCCCAGTGACACACTTCCTCCAACGAGGCTGCACCTACTCCAAGGCCACACCTCCTATTCCCTATCGAGTAGCACTTTACCCTAATGACCACATGTTTAAATATATGAGCCCATGAAACCATTCCTATTCAGACCACCAGTGTGGAAGATCACAAACAACTGTAACTCCCATCCCAGAGAACTCATAGACATACATTAAGTAAATAAAGATAGACCAGATTTTTATCTTCATTTTGGAGAAAAATAGAAATTCTCTTATGTGCTTTACCTATAATCTGTGTGTCAGTTAGAATATAGTTTTCTTATTGATGTAACAAGGTAGAACTAGTTAGGGATTGTTGGAGGGTGTCTTAGTCATTTAAGTGTCAAAACAAAATAGCTACAGTTCTAAGCACCTTTTGGGAAAGGCCTAGAAGCATTTCTAGAACTGTTCTGTTGTTTTTCCTAGACATATACTCCTAAAATTTCTTCTTTTCTCAGCAAAACCTGGAAATCCACCGGAAGATTAAACAGTCTGAGCAAGAGCTAGCCTATCTGGAGAGGAGAGAACGGGAGGTAAACTTTGATGAACAGTTATTCACTGTGCTCAAAATCTCTTTGCCCCATGGTATATACTTTGTTTATTATACTAATCCTTTCTTACAAAAAGACTGGGAAAAAAAAGAGGTCCCAAAATATGATATATACATTTGTCAAAACTTTCATTCTTTATTAAGAATGAGTTTTGCCGAGCAGTGGTGGCGCATGCCTTTAATCCCAGCACTCGGGGGGCAGAGGCAGATGGATCTCTGTGAGTTTGAGGCCAGCCAGGTCTATAAGAGCTAGTTCCAGGACAGGCTTCAAAGCCACAGAGAAACCCTGTCTCAAAACAAAACAAAAAAAAGAGTTTCATTGCTTATAAATTATAACTAGTAAAGTTTTGGGGGGGGGGGGGGGTTTTTTTAAGGTTATGTTAGGTTCTCCAGTTATGTCAGATAAATAGCACTCTCATTCCCCATTTTGTTGTTGTTTGTTTGATTGTAAAGAAAGGGTTTCTCTGTGTAACAACTCTGGCAGTACTGGAACTCTCCTTGTAGTCCAGGCTGACCTCAAACTCACAGAGATCTGGCTGTCTCTGCCTTCTGAGTGCTGGGATTAAAGGCATTCTGCCAGCTTTAAATTTTTTTTAAATTTATTTTTAAAAATTACTTGTAAAAAAAAGAAAGCCTGATATACTGGCTCTCCCCTGTAGTTCCACTGCTTTGGGATTGAGGCAGGAGAAATTCAGTGAGATCAAGAGTAAAGAAAGTTGCAAGGTGAGATCCTGTCTGAGGAAGAAAAAAAAAAGCAAAATAATAATAAATCCCATGCACATGTAGCACTTGGGAGGCTGAAATGAGAAGATGGTATGATCTCAGCCTGTAAGCACAGCAAGATCCTATATCCTAAGCTTAAAACCCACCCCTCTACTAGTGGCAGGAATAGGTAGACCGTTCCCCTCCCAATCATTCTCTTAGGTGGAACCCTCAGATGTGCTCTTCTGTTTGCTACAGGGAAGGTTTAAAGAAAGAGGAAATGATCGAAGGGAAAAGCTCCAATCTTTTGATTCTCCAGAAAGGAAACGGATTAAATACTCCAGGGAAACTGACAGGTACGTCAGATACTCAGCTATAGCCTTGAAGTGTATTGATAGAATTGTCTTCTGCAAATGCTTTACTACTTTCTCTCTTAGAGAAATGTGATGTTATTAGAAGCCAGTTTTGTCTGCACTCCATGACCATAAGATCCACCATGGCTGTTTGACCCTCTTTTCTTTACACTGAAAATATGTGTGTTCCTAATGGAAGGTTGGCTGACTAAAGTACTTTTGCTACTGAAACTGTTGTTCCTTTTGGAAACTACAGCTCCCAGATTCCTCCTGGATTACGGACACGTTACAGGCGCGTACAGGTGCAGGACATTTCTCCCAGATACCCTTGCGCTTCTCTAAAAAGCGATCTTCCACGAGGTCTCACTCTCTCTTGCCCTTTACCCTTGTGTGTCTTGCACACCTGTCCCTTACCGTGTGTCCCCCCCCCCCATTAAAGCGCACCCACGTGGGAGCCGCGTGTCTGTGTCTCCTCCTTTCGTGCGTGTTTTGTCTGTCCTGTGTTTGTCTCCACACACACACCTGCTTTAAAAGAATAATAGAAACCAAGGCTGAAGTGACTGTCCTCATCAGTAATAATGTATTATAAACCTGATAATGTTCCATTCTTAGACTATTTCTCTGGGATCTCCATTCCCACAATTGTATACTAAAGTAATTGGTTGGCTGCTGCTAGAGATATATGACCTCTTAACTTCCTCTGCTTGTTTCCAGACAAACAAGTTATAAATCCCATAATTACATCAAGTCCGCTGATAATCCTTGATGTGTTGCCACTGTACTAAGTGCAAGAAATATTCAATGGACAAACCATGTATTATCACTGGTCCTTTGTACACAGAGTATGCAAGACTTAAGTCATGATGTGTCTCATAGGAAAGCCAGTAAGAAGGGGAGCAGAGGAATGTTTCAATTGGTGAAACCTCTGGGGTTTTTTTTTTTTTTTTTTGAGACAGGGTTTCTCTACATGTAGCTTTGGAGCCTGTCGTGGAACTCACTTGATAGACCAGGCTGGCCTCAAACTCACAGGGATCCACCTGTCTCTGCCTCCCAAGTGCTGGTATTAAAGGCGTGTGCCGCCACCACCTAGCCAGGATTTTGTTTTTTAGGAGCTCATGATGCATTTAACGTGACTTGACAGAGCTAAACAGATGGCGTTAGTTGTTGAGTGACAGGAAATAGGGGCTGCTCAACAGATTAGAAGTCAGCTCACTTACAGCATAGCAAGAAATCATTTAAATTTCTATTTTAGGAATTATTAAACACATAGAAGATAAACTTGAAGAAAGAGTATGATGATCCTTATTTATTTATTTATTTTTGTTTTTGTTTTTTTCGAGACAGGGTTTCTCTGTGGTTTTGGAGCCTATCCTAGAACTAGCTCTTGTAGACCAGGCTGGTCTCGAACTCACAGAGATCCGCCTGCCTCTGCCTCCTGAGTGCTGGGATTAAAGGCGTGCACCACCACCGCCTGGCATATGATGATCCTTATTTTGTGTTTTTTATGTGAGAATATTGCCATACACAGACTGTGACTAGATCAGAGAAAAATATTAAATCTACCAGGCTTTGTGATTAGTGACTTTGAAGATTCTTGGGTTTCTGTTGGGTGTTTATACAAGAGAGATCTGAGGCCTTGAACGGAAAGGAGAAAAGGGAGGTTCATGAGCAGAAGTTAAGGAACTTTGTTTGTTTGTTTTTTATTTTTCAAGGCAGGGTTTCATTGTAGCATGGCTGTCCTGGAACTTATTCTGCAGACCAGACTGGCCTCAAACTCAGAAATCCTCCTGCTTCTTTCTGCGTGCCAACTGCTGGGATTAAAGTTGTACACCACTGTGCCTAGCTAAAAGTCATCGTTTTGATTATTTTTTAAATTTATTTTATGTGCATTGGTATGAAGGTGTCAAATCTCCTGGATCTGGAGCTACAGACAGTTCTGAGCTGCCATCTGGATGCTGGGAATTGAACCCCAGTCCTCTGTAAGAACAGCAAGTGCTCTTAACTGCTGAGCCATCTCTCCAACCCCCAAAAGTAGTCATTTTTATTTATAGAGCTTTGAACAGGTTTGTTGTTGTTAAGCCTTAAAAGAGCAGGGTGGGTGGGGCAGGGAGCATTGGGCTTATAAAGAAAGGGAGATTATTGATAGAGTGAGTCTCAGAAGAGACCCGCCATGGTCTAAGAATGGTGTTTCATCTTATTTTGTAGTCATAGCTCAATAATTGTATATATAGTATCTTCATAGGGAACTCCTGATTTTCCATTTTGTTTTGTTTTGTTATCATTGATAAGTATTTATTCAGAGGCTGGAGAGATGGCTCAGTGTTTAAGAGCTCTGGCTCCTCTTCCATATGTCCTGAGTTCAGTTCCCACCAACCACATGGTGGCTCACAACCATCTGCAATGAGATCTGGTGCCCTCTTCTGCCCTGCAGGCATACATGCAGAGGACTGTATACATAATAAATAAGTTAATGAATTAATAATTTTTAAGAACTTATTCAATGTCATATCTCATTGTATTATTTTCTGCTATTTAAAATATAATGGGCTATTTATAAAATGGTCTGTGTCTAAGACGTTAACAATAAAGAAGGAAGGACACCCTATCTTAATCCAGCTATGATGAGATAATTCTGAGTGCCGAAGATTATTCTCCATCTGCAGCACTTTCCACACTACCTTCTCCTCAGTTTGTTTTTTAGTCCTGTTTCCTGTTCCAGAAATATTTATTTTGTTTTGTTGTCATTAATAAGAAGTACTTATTCAGGAGCTAAAGTGATGACTCAGCAGTTAAAAGCACTGACTGCTCTTCCAGAGGTCCTGAGTTCAGTTCCCCTCAACTACATGGTAGCTCACAACCATCTATAAATGAGTTCTGGTGCCCTCTTCTGGCATACAAGCATACATGGAAGGAATGTTGTATATATACATAATAAATAAATAAATCTTTAAAAAAAATTAAGATTATGTTTGTTTTATGTGCTTGTGTGTGTATATATGTAAGTTGTATGTATGTGTACCACATGCATGCAGGTGTCCATGGAAGCCCGAAGAGGGTGTTGAATTACCTGAAACTAGAGTTAAAGCATCTGTGAACCACTTGTGGGTGCTAGGAACTGAACCTGGGTCTTCTACAAGAGCAGCAAGTGCTTTTTTAAGTGCTGAGTATCTTCTGTGCTTATTAAAGATATTTTAAAATGATTTTTGTTTTGTTTTGATTTTCATTTTTCAAGACAGGGTTTCTCTTTGTTGCCATGGCTGTTCTGGTGCTTGCTCTGAGGACCGGGCTAGCCTCAAACTCAGAGAGATCCCACTGCTTCTGACTCCCAAGTGCTGGGATTAAAGGCATGCACTACCACACCCAGATAAAATAGATTTTCTTTTTAAGCACAAGTGTTAAGAGAGAGATGTCCAGAGAAGAGGTACCTTATCAGTTGTAGGCATCTCTAAAAGGGTGTCACTCTTTCTCCTATTTTTCAGTCCATTTTTTGTTACCAAAAGTGTTTTATTTATGTACAGAAACTTGATCTTTTTTGTGTCAGATAGAGCAGCAACAGGGTACTTGCTTAACATACCTGAGTCCTAGATTCAATCTATTGCACCATAAATAGCAATCATACAACCTTTTTAAAGCTATTATATGCATGTGGAGCTACTGTGTGGGTACTGAAAATCGAATCCAGGTCCTATGAAATAGTAACCAGTGTTCTTAACCACTGAGACAACCCTCCTACTCCTAATAAATAATTTAAAAAATAGAAGAGAGATCTGTCCTTTTTGTGAGGTGAGAATATAGAGGGCTTGCCTAATGTATCTGAGACTCTTGGTTTGATTCCCAGGATAGCAAATAAACAAAACAGCAAAACAGCACCACCTATTTCTGAATACGTATGTTACCTACTGAGAGACTTGATCTACAAGGTTTCTTTGCCTAAAGTATCAATGTGATATAATGTTTAAGGCATGTTTTTGTTTCTTATAATCAAGCCTCAAACCTTACCTTTAATAGTTCCTACCACTTCTCTACTAAACAAATCATCTTGTTTGTCTGCTGCACATTGTCTAGTTCATAAGCCCCTCATTTGTCCAGATCCAGTTGGCATGTGTCATCTTCCTTAAGTGCCTTTCAGTTTTGGAGGTAATCTGTTCCTGTTTGTGTTCTATCCGTTGTATTTCTGGAGTACATATCCACTGTTGCCACATACATGACTGTTCTCCTCAGTCCTCTAAAGTTTCTATGTTCTTTCCCATGATCAAGGCCACCTCTGCACCCTTAAGACAAGTCTAGTTACATGGGTATCAAGTTTTGCTTAAGGAAACAGATCTCAACCAAGAGGTCAGCAGGTCACCTTGAAAATGGTAATAGAAGTCTGTTTCTCTTATACTGATCATAACCTATCTGTTTCTCTTATAGTGATCGTAACCCTGTTGATAAAGAAGATACTGACACTAATAACAAAGGAGGCTGTAACCAGCAGGCCACTAGCTGGAGGAAAGGGGCAGGCCTGGGATATAGCCATCCTGGATTGGGTTCATCAGAGGAGGTGAGATGAATTCTTTATTCCTGGGAGTTATATGAACATAGAATATACTTAACTTTTACTATCTGGCCATAAAACACATGCACAAAATAAAGGTCAAAATTTCTAGAAATCGTCCTCCTTCTACCATGTAGGGATCAAACGATCAAATACAGGTTGTCAAGTTTAGTGGCATGTACCCTTCCAATTCACCATCCCTTCCCCTCGATCCTGTGTTACAATTTGTTGTGTTGAGTGTTTGGTGATTTCCCTGACAGTGAAAAGGTGGCAGAGAAGTTAGAATAAAGTTTATCATACTTTTATATAAAGAATATGCAATGAGAGGGCTGGAGAGATGGCTCAGAGCACTGCCTACTCTTCCAAAGGTCCTGAGTTCAATTCCCAGCAACCACATGGTGGCTCACAACCATCTATAATGGGGTCTGGTGCCCTCTTCTGGCCTGCAGGCATACACACAGACAGAATATTGTTTACATAATAAATAAATAAATAAACAAACATAAGTTTTTTTTTTTTTTTAAAGAATATGCAATGAGGACAGTATGGGAGCCAGGCATCTTGAAACTAAAGTATCATTTGATTAAAGAACAAGGAGGGCTGTGGCTGTGGCTTAGGAGTAGAGCACTCATTTCTAAAGCCTGAGGCTCTAGGTTCAATCCTCAGTATGGACACTTTAAAAAAAAAAAAGGCTTGGGGCCTTAGGAGCACACAGGAACTAAAAGAGCCAGGAAGCCAGTAATCAAAAATTAGAGACCCCTGTCTATGAGAGGGATTGTCAGCAGAGGTCTTTGATAGCTAAGATAGGGGGATCAGGAAGTTAGAACTTAGTCTTAGTTCCCTGGAAGGACATAGCTCCTTATTTTTCAGGAAGAGTCCCTGAAAAAGTAATCTGAAAATATTGCCCATTTGGGTAGGTTTGGGTCTCTGAGATTGCAACCTTTAAAAACTGACTCATTTTATTCCTCTTAAAACTTGTCTGATATTGAAGCCTTTATTTGATGTCATGGCACTGTGTTCCCCCTTATCCAAAGATCTCACTTCATTCTTTGTTCTTCAGACTGAAGGAAGGATGAGGGGATCTGGTGGTGGCACCCCAGGAAGAACCAGCAAGAGACAGTCCAATGAAACTTACCGAGATGCTGTTCGAAGAGTTATGTTTGCTCGATATAAAGAACTCGATTAAGAGTGGAGACACCCCACAAGGACACAACCTCTTTCTTGTTTTGTTTGTCCATCTCTCCTTTTGTTTTGTTACTGTTCTTGCTGCTAGAACTTTTTTAAATAAACTTTTTTTCAATGTGAATGATCTCTGTTCATTTTTTTTTTTCTTTCCACAATGGATAAAGAGTAGAGCTAATGGTAAGAAGTAGAAAAGGACTCCATGTGGGCACATCTGAGTTGATGAAATGGTCGGCTAATGCTGTGGTGAGCTGGGGAACACTGCCTGCTTTCTGAGTAAGAGAATGAACATAGCTAATGTGAATGTGCCTTATCTAATCAGTGAGAAGAGCTTTTTTTTTTCTCTCTCGTGATATTTTGTTTGTGATCTAACAAAAAACTTGCTTAAAGATAGGATGCAGAGCTAAGACAATTTATCTTACTTATATATCCCCCTTTTTCTTTTCAGAGTAGATTCAATAATGACCTAGCATATCTATATAATGTGGTCATATTTTGTTAGTGCTCTAACAAATAAAGCTTGCTTGAAGATGAGACTGCAGAGCTAAGCCCCTAGTTAGCCATAGCGGCCTGGCAATGGTAGCACACACCTCTAATCCCAGCACTCAGAAAGCAGAGGCAGAAGAATCTCTGTGAGTTCAAGACCACTCTGGGCTACTCGAGATTGAATCATTCTAAAAGAGGAACAGAGCCAAGCAATGGTGGCTCACCTTTAATTCCAGCACTAGGGAGGTGGAGACAGGAAGGGATATGACTAAACAGAGAAGAATATAAGGCAGGAAGTAACAGAGATCGACTTGCCTCTGTCTCCTGAGTGCTGGGATTAAAAGCATGCACCACCACCGCCCTGCTTGTTTGTTTTTATAACCTACCTTTAATGTTTTTAAAGCACAGTGCTAGAATGTGTTTAAATGCTGAACATTCAAGCTCTTCTAGTATCCCAAATGCTAAATTTAAAAATATGCAATATCACCTGGCCCAATTTAATTTTTTTGTTATTATATTTCTTTAATTATATTTTATAATGTAGTTGAATTGAAACAGTCTTCCCACAAAAAGGAAAAACCACCTTGAATACTGATGAAAGTATTGAATGGATGTAAAAAGTGATGTCTTATAGGAAACTTCTGAGGCCTTTTATCAATGTCAAAACAGGACTTAGAATAATTGTTATAACCACAGAAAATACTTGTTGGGTTATTCTGTCATTTTCACACTCTAGCTAATCAAAACCCACCTCTGATTATTTAATTTTTGAGGTTTATTTTTTAATTTTTTTGTTTGGGGTATATACAAGAGTTTTTACAGAAATCTGTATTTTTTTTTATATTGTTTGTTGTTGTTTTTAAACTAGGTAGCTCTGACTGAGAACTTGCTTTGTAGACTTTGAAGCTGGCCTCAAATTCATAGAGTCTTTACCTCCTAAGTGCTAGGATTGAAACCATGTGCCATCATCATACCCATTCCTAAAGAGTTATATTTATGTTTATATGAAAGTGCCTACACGGGTGTATGTTTATCATGTTGGTGTCCAAGGACGCCCGAAGAAAGTGCTACCGGTGGTTGTGAGTCACAATGTGGGTGTAGGAACTAAAAAGTAAATGCTCTTCACAACTGAACTATCTCCAGAATCCTGGTTACACCAGAATAAATCCCAACCCTCTAGCAGGGAGGCAGAGATAGAAGGATTATGAAGAATTTGAGGCCAGCCTGAATTACAAAGAAAAACCCTGTTTTAAAAGATCCTTCCAGTCGGGCGGTGGTGGCGCACGCCTTTAATCCCAGCACTTGGGAGGCAGAGGCAGGCGGATCTCTGTGAGTTCGAGACCAGCCTGGTCTACAAGAGCTAGTTCCAGGACAGGCTCCAAAGCCACAGAGAAACCCTGTCTCGAAAAACCAAAAAAAAAAATAAAATAAAATAAAAAATAAAAATAAAAGATCCTTCCACCCCAGTGAAATGATTTTCATGAGTCCATTATAAAAAATTAAAAAATAAAACAACTCTTCCATTATCTGGCAAAAAATGAAAACAAGACTTTTGTCCCAGTTTTGGAACTAATGCTCTAGAAAATGCTCCTCCACGTGGCAGCTCACAACTCTGTGTAACTCCATTTCCAGGGGATCTGACACCCTTGCACAGACAGACATGCAAGTGAAACACTAATGCACAGAAAATAAATTTAAAAACTGTCCAATAAAACATTTTATTTGTGTTGCTTAATTTAAAACAGCATCGTCGGACTAGAGAGATGGCTCAGTGGTTAGGAACATTGACTGCTCTTGGAGAACCCCGAGTTCATTTCCCAGCATCCACATGGCAGCTCACAACTGTAACTCCAGTTCCAAAGGATCCAACACCCTCATACAGGCAAAACCAATGGCCATGAAAAAAAAAAAAAAAAGCAACCTCCATTGTCATTGGTACGCTACCAGATAGCTTGGGGGATATAATTCGTTCTTCAACTCCACAGGACATGAAACCTGACAGAACATAACTGATGGCATTTATCTCTGGATGGACTTCATCTGGGGGTAGGAGAGCTTTTAGTTTTTAAAGTGAATTGGCAGTCAGGAGTGGTGGTTTACACCTTTAATCCCAGCAAGTACTCAGGAAGCTGAGGCCAGTGGATCCTAGGAGTTCCAGAGCTATGTACATAGTGAGACACTGTCTCAAAAAAAAAAAAAAAATTAACTTTTATGGGTCCAGTAAACATTTGGGAGATACTTTAAAGAATTTACTGAGGCCGGGCTGTGGTGGTGCACGCCTTTAATCCCAGCACTTGGGAGGCAGAGGCAGGCGGATCTCTGTGAGTTCGAGACCAGCCTGGTCTACAAGAGCTAGTTCCAGGACAGGCTCCAAAGCCACAGAGAAACCCTGTCTCGAAAAACCAAAAAATAAAAATAAAAATAAAAAATAAAAAAAGAATTTACTGAGGGAGATCTCCTTCCTCCTCCCATGGTTAAAAGCACATGCACTTGCTGCTCTTCCAGAGGACCCGGGACAGGTTTCCAGCATCCACATCAGGCAGCTCATAACTACCTATAACTCCAGATCCAATGGATCTCATGCAGTTTTCTGGCCTCTTTAAGTACCTGGCACAAAAGTGGTACATAGAGGGTGCTGGAGAGATGTCTCAGAGGCTAAGAACAATGGCTTCTCTTCAATTCCCAGTAACACATGGTAGCTCATAGTCATCTATAATGAGATCTGGTGCCTTTTTCTGGGCAGAACACTATACACAATAAATTTTTTAAGTGCATAAAAATATGTGCAAGCAAAGAAAAAAACCCATATAAATCACACCAAAAAAATTAAATCTTTTTTTAAAAAGATAGTGAGTTATGTGTATCTATGTGTGAAAATGTGCACCTTGTAGGTGCCCTTGAAGACTAGAACCAAACCCAGCTCTAGAAGAGCATCCCAGTCTCTCAACCAGTGTGCCATCTTTCCAGACTCCACACGTCAAAAATAAAATCGTCTAAAAGAAAAACTTGTTGATTAGACCAGACATGGTGGTGCAAGCATATAGCCCCAGCACTTGGGAAGTAGAGACAAGAAGATAGAGAGCTCAAGTTCACCATTAGTTTCATAGTGAGTTCAAGCCTGGGCCACATGGAGCCCTAGCTCCTAATATTAAAGTACTTTAAGATCACTGGTAGTGGCCAGTAAAACACAGTGAATTCTGAATTCTTAGCATCTTACATCATTCATGGTAGAAATTTCCAGTTTATAATTGTTAGCTCTGTGTGTTTGTAACACAGAAATTAATGTCTTGCCCTAGGACAACAGGAGAGAGAGAGGAGAGAGAAGAATGAAGTTGTCTAAAATGGCTTTAAACTCCTGTCAGTTCTGCTTCATTATCTGGAGTGCAATTACAGGCGTGTACCACCTAGCCTCCAGAAAGGTAATCGTTAGCGTTCCTTCTGTAGAAGCGGGATTTACATGTTTTACAGTGTGTCAGGCACTTGTAGGGTTTACATCCGGGTCCTCAGGGGCTGAATGGCAGCTTTGTCATGGAGTAGATGAAATATGCAAAAAAAAAAAAAAAAAATTAACACGGGATCGAGTGACAGGCTCCTGGGAGACTACACTTCCCGGCAGCCCTCGCTCAGACAGGCGCCTTTGCTGATTGGATGCCTCTGAAGAGGCGGGTGGGGTGGGGGTGGGGAGGGTCCAGGCGCGAGGTACTGTGGGTAGGAGAAGACGGTCGGTGGAGACGCCATTTTGTAGAGCGGCCGAACCCTTTAGGAGGTTCTGGGACGCAGAGCCGCTACTGCTTCTGCTTCGTTCCCTCCTGGGGGGTGAGTGCGGCGGCCGTCCATCCCGTCCCAGTGATTCTTGCTGTTGCTGCTGTGCCTTGAGTCTCTGTCAGCCGTCAGAGGTGACCGCTCAGCCTCGTCTTTGAAGGGACTAAACTAAGCAAGCGTTCGAGGGCCGCGCCCCTCATCGCCTCTGGCTCTGCCAGCTTTCTTAGGTCGTCCCCTAACTCAGACCTCGGCCCGCCTCTTTGAGTTGCTTGTCTCTGGCTGGGACGTTGTCCCGAATCCCCTGTCCAGCGGAGTGGTGGAGCGTCTGTCCCTCGGACACCCCTCGAGAGCGCCTGCAACTGAATCTCACTCTCGGAAAGGTGGTTTGGTGATGGTGATCTGAGGACTGGGAACCTCCTCAGGCGGGGAGGGACGTTTGTGAGGTGGGAAAGACAGACCGAATGTCGGATTCAGTAGCATAGGCCTTAGCGCCGCCATCTCGGCTACGACACCCCACGGAGGTGGGTACGGGCACCTCCCGGGAAACAAGGGACAGCCGTAGCCGTTCGACCCCGGAACTTGAATCTCTGGATGTCTCTTTCGTTTATTATGTCAACGAATATTCGTTGAACGCCTGCTTTAGACCAGATGCTAGAAACAGCTGTAACTTACTAGTTCGTGGGACATCACAGGTATCGAAGAATACACCTGTGTGATGTTTTATTCCGGCCTATGGGCAGGGGGCAGGCTGTTGGTCACTCGGCGGCCTGTGTCGATCAGATATTAAGCCAAGTCAAGGTCTTGTCTTACTGAAATAGATCACGCGTTACAATATACATGTACATTTTAGTCAGATCAGCTTTCACCTAAGGCTTT